GCATTAAATATGGATCCATATTTTATATAAAATTAACTTATTAAAATTTCAATTTATACAATTAGTATTACGAGTTGTGTCATATTTAGTATTAGTGTTATTGTTGTGTTGACTGCACTATTTGAAAGTATTGTCACGTGTTGGGTATGTCACGCAACAAATGACTTCACGTGGGTCTCGGATTTAGCGAATCTTTATTGGACACTCACACTTACACACCTTACAATTATCACCACTTGCAGTATCACTTGACTTCTGGTCCAATACTCGATACGACGTCTCAACTATCCTTGGCCGTGGTTGGATTTCAACTGTCTTCGGCGACGGCTATCCCACTACTGACTTTTTGCTGTCTTCCTTCTATATCGTATGGCGTCTAGGTTCCAACTTCTGTGATTGTTCAGCGAACTGGATACCAGACACCATTCCTCACTGTTTCGTTTCTACTGTCCGCTGTTACGTAACGGGCGCAACGAACCCTCTATAGTTAATTTCTGGGGAGACGCGTTCGTTGCTTCTGCATTGTCTACACAACGGTTCCCCGTTCTTTGCGTTACCATGGAAGTGCCTATTCCAACTCAGGTGTTCGGCAGTCCGTTGCCTCGGGAACGCTCCTTCGCAACGGTCTGTTTGTATTCGATTTGTCGCTGTTGGAACTTAACAGTTTCCATTGTAGCCGTTGCGCGGCGATGGACGTAAGGTAACGCGTCACAGTATTGTAACGTGTTTCGTTACTGAAGACGCCGTTCGGATTGTTAATTGGTTTATTTAACAATCTACAAGTATCGGCTACAATTGATTATAACAATGTTACGGGTTTCCACACTTCACAAACACTACACAATAATCTGTTGACACTGTCACGATTCACTCGTTACAACTGAACCCGGTGACTACTACAATTCAGTTCAACTCGTAACTCGCCGCTGGCTAGATTCCAACTCAACTCGTAGGCTGCTGCCTTGAGAACTCGTTCACTGCTGACTGGAGAACTGTCTTCGGCCGCTGATACACTTTTAACTCACAACAACTGAACTCGGCGACGGCCACATTTCAACTCAACTCGTAGGCAGCTGTCTTGAGGACTCACTTCGGCGGCTGATACGCTTTAGACTGGCTGCGGCGGCTGTGTAGTTCCCTTATATAGTCGCAGCGCTTGCCTGTTACGTAATCGGTACCGCTGTTGCCTCACGCCGTGTTACGTCACCGCGCGTTGCGTCCCTCGTCACAGTAGGAAGCGGTGCCACGTAGCCCAGGGGGGCTACGTCACCGTGGCCAGAGCTGCCACGTCACTGCTGGGGGAGGGAGGGTTTTTCCTCCATTGCGCAACATGTCACAGTATGTTAAGACACAGAACGGGATGCATACTTTGAAAAGAGAACTTCTTGATAGGTCAGCAACTGTTAGGTGCTCATTAAGGACTCTTCTCCATGGAACTGGTATCTTCACATAGTTTAAGATATAAACAAATACAGGATTTTTTTTTTTTTTTTGGCACTACAGCCCCAGTGGGCCTAGGTCTACCTCCATGAACTTCTCCGTTCACTTTGGTTTTTCTAGATCTTACACATTCGGTAGGACTCCTTGGGCGGGGATCAGCTCGTCGCAAGGCTTCTACCTGTACACAAATACAGAAAAACGCACACACACACACAAACTAAACATCCATACCCTGAGTGGGATTCGAACCCACGATCCCGGTTTCCAAGCGAGCGAAGACAGTTCATGCCTTAGACCGCTCGTCTACCGTGACGGGCACAGGAAAAATTATAATGTCTAATTTCTTCTAAATTCTTAGTTAAATCATTGTTAGCCAGTCACTGTTTTTGAGTGCTCAGATATTGGTATTGCAGGTCCAGATCCTGCTGAGTCCTTGTAAAGTTTAACCCTATGACTGGATTATTCTTTCTGTCTTGTATTTTCATGCACAAGTAAAGAGAGACATTGTGATTGCCAAACCCCATTCAAGGAAATCTACCATATCTAACGTCTAAAAGAGTCATTATTTCAGAATTCTATATCTGAACAGACCAATGGACCTAGTTTTTGAAAAATGAAGAAGAATTGGATTGTCAATTAATTAGAACAAACTGCATGCCTAAAGATTTTAGTAAAAGGACAAGGTGGAAGAAGTATTTCTTCCATATGTATAGTAATCCTGTCTTATTGACTTATCTGAGTATGGATGCAGTAGAATAACTTCCTTACCAACAGTTGGGCAGTAAAGTTCAGCTATATTTTTTTTAATGTTATGAGGGCCAGAACATTATTTTTAGTTTATTATTGGGAGAAAACAATAGTAACAGTAGATAGGTTGCCCTCATATAAAAGTTTTAACACATTCTTCAGCTTAAATTGTTCATCAGACACAAGTTTTTCATTATCTGAAAATATTTCTTAGGGGTTTAACTTGTATCCTTCAGAAAAAAAGTAAGAAAACTGTAAAATAAACCAACAAAAGTGGGGAATTGTATTGCAGTGGAGTTAACATTATTTTCCAAAAATCCTTCTGTGAAAATTCGCTCTCTTCCTTAACCTTTGTGTTCATTTAATGCAGAAAAAAATTCTCCCATCTTCCACATCTTGTGCTTCATTAGTATGGCAGAACCGAACGTTTGAATTCTGTTATTCAGGAATACATGATTTTTACATTGCATTATGTTAAATAGGCCTAATATTTGTTTCAAATATAAGCTATACAATGTAATGAGATCTACTACCACAGTCTAATTTCGTGGACTGCCCGCAAAGCGTCGTTGCAGTGCACTACAGCGAATAGGTTGAGGCACGATATGATGCCCTGTTAGTTCATCTCTCGTCACAGCAAGAGGCAGTTGTGTGCAAACAGTGTAAGCACAACTACAGCCTCTATTGTGAACTGCAGTTACATGCGAGTGGTGGAAATTGAAAATGTGGCAGTTTGAAGAACGGGCAAACATCAAATTCTGCCAAAAACTAGGAAAATCCCCTAGCGAAACATTTGGCATAGGAAGAATTGGCTGTTGCTACACGACAACGCCCCTGCACATTGCTCTGTTCTTGTCCAAGGGGAACAGGCAAGGCAACAGGGCACCGTTTTGCCACACCCTCTGTACTCACGTGATCTCGCACCATGCGATTTCTTTCTCTTTCACCGCTTGAAAGCAAAGCTACGTGGTTGTAGATTTCAGTCGTCCGAGGAGGTGGTCAATGCCACAAGAGACGCTGTACGGGAATTTCCCGCCAATATGTTTCAGCAATGTTGGCAGACTTGCATAGCAGCCAACGGCAACTATTTTGAGGGTCGATGTGGATCTGTGTAAGTGTATGTGAATACCTTGTAATATGATGCGATAAGACCATAGTCCATGAAATTAATGTACCACGTATATTTATTAATATTCATATGTAGTATTTTTTTTTTTTGTGCAATGAGCTGTTTCCGAGGAAGATTGATAATGATGTGTAATGTAAAGTAAGGATTAGACTACTGGACCAATAAGACACAAAACAGTATTTTCCCTATAGCTTTTGATGTAGATTTAAATATTTTCAGTATTTTTTGGATGTGAAATATTTCAATGGGCAGACAGACATCCTGCCCATTATGCATTCATTTCAAACACTTCAAATGAGGAATGCACTAAAAGGGACAGTTAATTCCATTTTAAGTTCTTAGTAATGAGAATTTACTCAAAATACAGAATGGACTTGAAATTTGATCATTTGGTCACTCTGCTATAAAGGTCATAATGTAATCTGCAGTGGTTCCACATTCTGATATCAGCTGCTGCCCCCATTAATACAGCAAGGAAAGGCAGATAATTTGTTTCTGAAAATAGCTGAAACAACTGCAAAGGTACATTTTATAAGGCAAATGTGAGATTTACCAGCAGTTTTCCAGTGGAGTTCACATGTTTTCCAAATGCTTTCTTCCAGAATTTGCATTCATCTGTGGTCCTGATATACATTATTACAGATGAAAGTCAATTTATTCATTTCTTTCTTCTTCCTCATATTGTGTTGAACACAGGAATGAATGCTAAAACTCAGTACCACAAGAAAAGATAAAGATTCTATCCTTCACAGTATTTTTTTATGGACATAGAATGTTATTGTTTTGTATTTCATTAAGTATACACCATGTTAAGAAATGCTTCAAGAAGTGAAAATGTACATTTTATTTTCATAGAATGGCTTATTTTTTGGAAACTGGATAAAGTTTGATTTCAGTTTCACACAAAGTACTGAGTGTTTTGATCCCATATGGAGCAAACTTATATTTTCCTAGGAACTTCTGGAGTAGACACTGTACATGCACTGAAATATATTTAGCAGTTTTGGTGATGAAAGGTAACAACCAGCACAGACATTAATTTGCTGCAGTCTCAGTTGGGTTTACTAGTAATGCAGAGGCAATGTTTAGGAGGTGTTTGTAGGAAAAATAGTGCAGATTGTATTTGGACAGGTAATGGTAGTTGGAAATACAGATGTTTCTAACCTGTCACAATTACAGAACACGTTTTGACAGTGTATATTTTCCAATATACTGTCTAAAAACTAAAATGTAAATTATCATCTAACTGTATCTAGCAGTTCAGTTCCTCACTCACCCAGACCCACAACGAAACGGCAGAGCTCCACCTTGTTGACCCCTAAAATGTGCATAGGAGACAGCAACATACAACATGGCATGAAACACCATAACTAGCAAAACTGAACTGATTATACCCTACCTCAATGAATTTTATAATGATATTAGTTTTAATCTCTTATAAGAATTTTATGACTCAGATATTTTAATCCCTTTATTTTTATGTACATGAGTATGGTTGTAATATTTCCTTTTGTATCACATGCCTCCTGAAAGTGGTCTTGTAAGACTGAATCCTGTCTGGGTTTTGTAACAGCATGTAATCACCATAAGAAAATATACAAGATGTACTTAGAGTGTAACTTATATCTTACTTTAACAACCTACTGTTGTTTTCCTAAGGGTACAGCTTCTGTTGTGTTTGCAGTATGTTGACTTGGATGAGTTTTTATCTGAAAATGGGATCCCTGTGGATGGCATGCCGCAGGCAACAGCCCATCAGCAACAGGTGATAAAGCAAGCTTCTCCCATACCAGAGGCAGCTAGAGGTCTGCCCCAACCTCATTCTCTTCCTCATCCCACGCAGACACAACCACAGAGGTGTGGAGATGGATCAGTGGCCCCTGTGCTCGAATTAGTGGCCAAGAGAGAGCGCTCACCCACGCCAAGTGAACCACTGTCTCCTGATACACTCAACCCACCATCACCTGCAGACTCAAGTAAGTATATTTTTTATTGCATTTACCACATTGTAAGTGCATCACAGATCTTTGGCTGTGGAGTCAAGTGAATATTGTACCATTAGTTAAACACATAACTTATAAAGAGGTTTGTCATCTTTTGTATAATGCCATGTAATCTACTGAAGGTCAGTCAATGTTTGAGAAGAACATGTCGCTTCCATCTTCGGGGTCAAAGGGTAAGTAAAAAAACCAGCATCACAGAGTTTGATTGCTGCCTGCTTCTTGCTGAAGATGGAAGTGATATATTCCTCCGAAACATCAGTTAGCTTCAGTTGCACAGCGTTACCCCTCAGAAGATAGTACTCTTCATAGCCATCACTGTGAGAACCTCAAATCCAGCATAATTTATGTATTTTTATATCAGATATATAAGCACGAAAATTGAGTGTGCGTAAATTAAGAAAGAGGTTTTTTTCAGGTAGGATGGATTTGCCTGTGAGATTGATGTTGGCGTAAAAAGAATGTATTATGTGATATAAAATAATGTTTCACATTTTCTGCTAGTATGGAAGGATGAAGAAGACTGGAAAATAAAATCAACAAATGCTGTAAGAATAATATAGTGAGTCTTCTGGTTTATGACATCATGTAGTTTCAAGGGTGGTTACTGTAAGTTACTCTGAAGATAGAGACAGTATGTTATCCCAATATGTTTGTAACCATTTATGAATCCACACAGTGTCATAACCCAGAAGTCCACAATCTTAATTTTCACATTCCTGTGAAAATCTCAAACTTCTTGTAGTTTCAAGGTCTAGAGAAGTGTAATTTAAAAATCGGTTGAGTTAAAGCATAGTTGTTATAACTGACAAAAATCAGACGTGCAAGAAATAAATTTGAGTAACACTTTGGAGAAAATTCTTTCTTCTTACTCTAGTACAATTTTATGAAAATATCTTATCCAACAGAAAGTACAGGAAAAATTCATAAATTCAGGAACTTTAAGCAGTCTGTTAAGGAAAGCTAGATGTAGCCTAAGCCAGATCGATGAAGTATTAAGGAATAAACAAGACTGGATAACATTTGCAATAAAATCACTTTAGGCAGGCTCTGGAAGTAGTAATACCGCAAGTAAAGTTATTCATATTAACAGAACTACTTCTTTACTCCATCATGATGAACCATTTTATATAACTCACGTTTCCAAAACATTCACCCATCAGCATTCCCTGATTATGCACATTTACCACAATCATAGATAACAGATACAGACTATCCAAATGTTACATCTATACGTTCATTATCATTTCTTACAATGTTTCACGGCTCATGGTCTGCAGCTCCTAGTTAGCAATACTTTGATTTTACCACAACTGATAAATTACTATTCTATAAATAGCGATGTTTTGCTATTTTTCTTCCTTCCTCAGTTACTGTATCCATCAAAAAGAAGGAGGCTGTGTCATGCTACAAACTCCAGATCCTTCTAAGATGTATATGTCTCCCAGCTTAAAATTTTAGTATATCTTTAATCTTAACTTGTTATTGTTAACGTTCAATGTGGATAATTATTAAACCAAATTGTAAACAAACACACATAAATGTGCTAATAAAATTAAGACTTGTAGACAGTTATTTATGCCATACAATAAGAAAGAAATGGGTTTCTTACCCATGCAAAACTTACATGATGATTTATTGATCTGCCAGTTGGAAATAGATGAGAGCCACTGATTTTCAGGATACAGAACTGCTATGCAGTTTCAAATAATATTGAACTGGTTGATTTTAACAAGCTGTTTGAAAATATTATTTAATTTATTGAAGAACAGAAACCATGCACATTGTGGTCAGAAGATTTTTTAAGTCAGTACAAATTTTATATTTATTTAATGGACAGATGCTGGCCTCTCTTCCTCGTGAAGTTCTCTTTGTTGCCATAGAACTCATTGCTGTTATGTATTTCAGTGATTTGTTTGAACTTTTCTTCATCTCTCATTTACAGGTTTACTTAGACCATGGCATTTTTGTTCTAGCATTATCACTGGCATCATCCGGGCGTGATTTCGATCCTCGAACACGAGCCTTTTCTGACGAAGAGTTGAAGCCCCAGCCAATGATCAAGAAGTCCAGAAAACAGGTATTAGATTTATATAAGCCAATTTTATGTCACCAACTGTACAGCAGTCTTAAATAGATGTCGCTAGTGCTGCATAAAAAACAACGAAATTTGCTATGGCTGTATTCATAAAAAATGTATTCATGAACAACAAATATTGTTGCAGTTGCATTCATTTTTGAAAAATATTCTTTTTGTGGATATTCTAACAACGAGGAGAGCCAGTCATTCCCCTTATAAAGGAATTTTATACTGCATTTGTTCAGGATTTGCAAAAGAAACAAAAAATACTTCAATGACCTATGTTAATAACTTACTTTGGATTGTTTCTGACATGTTTTATCATTAATTAAAATAAAGGATGGATGCCAGTCTAAATGAAATAAATGAAGACATAAAAACCAACCGAGCCGTCCGAGCAAAACGAAAGCCGTCTAAGCAAAAGTAGATGCCAACCAAGAACATATGCAAGAAATGATGATAGCTAACCAAGAAAGGATATAAATCAAGATAGACGCCATCCAAGAGAAGAATGTTGCCAATGTAAGGGAGATCATAGTAGAAATGAAGGACAGACAAAAAGAGAGGATAGCCGGCCAAGAAGGCCACAGAGGCCAATCTAAAGACGATGAAGCCAAATCCAGGAGAAAAGGAGGCCATGGCGGAGCAGCAGGAGAATTCTAATGAAGAGGCCGCAGTTCACTCACTGAGGACATGCCGAAACAAGAGGACGGCCTGCCAAGAAGCGACGGAGGCCAATCCAGAGAAGATGGAGCCAGTTGATCGCGCGATAACCATCTTGGAAAAGATGGAAGCCACGAATTTGAAGGCAAATACAGAGGTACTGGAATCTGAGTCGGAACGTCTGGAGGCCTCTAAGGAAGACTCCAAGTGTTCGAGCGAGAATTCCGACTACCCTGTGACCTGCTGTCTGGAGCACCTCCAGACAAGGAATGACTCACAACCGATCATGCCGCAGATTTAGTTGCACCGTCTACATGAAATCCACCATTATGCCCCCAACACCTGAAGCTGGCCAGTGACCTGATGAAAACCCATTACGACAAACTAGCCATCTGCGCAGGTTACCACGAGGGTGACAGAGTGTAGCTGTTGCCCAAGCTACAATCCATGTGGGAAGGCCCATACAAGATAGTCACCCAGATAAATGATATAGTATACAGGATCCAGAGGAACTCTAGGTGGAAGATGATGGTAGTACACCCAGACAGGTTTGCAGCTTATCAGGGAGCTGCTCTGGACGAGCGACCTTAAGGAGGGAGCAGTGGTAGCAGTTGGAGTTTAAACACTGCAGAAAAAGAAATGAACAACGGGAAGGAGGGTGAGATGAAACCAGGCGCAGCCCTCAGAAGAATGAAAGATGGTGCACCGATAGGCTTTTGGGATGAACAGCTGTAAGAAGGGAGCAATGTAAGGGATTTGCTCAAATTGTTTCAAAGCGACTGCTCAGTAAACACATTTCATCATGCAACAATGGAAGTTGTGTCTCAGTGGACAAATGTTATTGCTTGTTGCTAGGCAAATTAGTGCACCAATGAAGTCACTGGCTAGGAATCACGTGACTTGTTTTCTCTGTCGTCTGTGCGGAGCCTATATAACGAATACCTATTGTAACTTAGATAAAGAGGCTTAAACTTGGCGGCGATCAAGCATATGACCATTCAAGTGACTAGACTGCCGTTGTACCTGAAGCTCTACTGAGCCTGGACTGACAGAGGCCCTGTATATATTTTATATACATTTATTAACATGTTTAACATATAAAATGTAAATATCCTTTACATTATGGCAAATGACTTACTACTGCAGATAATGACTCTGACAAAAGACAGACCCATCCTCTCATCAGAGAGGCACCCCACAAAAGCATGACTGAAACTATCAAACAGTTATAAATATCTGGTCATAAGCCCCAGATTTGGCTCGACACAAAGACTGACTGACCGACCGACCGACCATCAGTCACAATGTGACTTTGACTTAGAAAAATGCAGTGCATAGTACAGTGTAGTTGAGTGTTATATTTGGAATGTATAATGCAGTGAGACTGTTATAGTTCTGTGTTTTAATTACGTTACCAGGAGACAACTGGTGTGTATGTAACAGTGAATTATAAAGTGTGTAAATAGCATAACACTATAATTATGTGTAGTTACTGGTGGTGTGTATCAGGAGTAAATAAACCTGTTCACCCAATCCAGAACCCGTGTTATTAGTCACTAATACACGTCATAGTGTGTTTATTTAATGGTCTGCATGAAAAGTTTATGTTATTCTGTATAGTGTTTATATTCTTCCCCAAGAAGTTAACATTATTTAGGCCATTCATATCCAACCCTTCCTGATTCTTGCGAACTTCTCTAATGGCATAATATTCAGTCGTCATTTGCAATGACCATAGTACATCTCTCGTAACTGAATCAAGTAGTCCAATTATAATTAATATTTACTGTCTGAACTGTTACTTTAAAAATGCGTAAACTGTCATGTATAATTTAAAATTTAAGCGTGAATGAAAAACTCTGGTAATAGAAAAGTCACTGGATGATGATGATGATGATACAAATGATACAGGAGGGGGGGGGGAGATTGGTTCAAAATATTTGCCATATTGGTCACATCCTCCACAGTTTTGCACTTGCTATGATTTCTCATCCAACTGTAATGTTTTGTGCTCTGTAAGGGATGCTTTTTTTTTTAATGTGTTCTTGCAAATATGAATTCCCCTGTGGCCTTATTTCTTTCGTCTTCTGGTAACCTACTGTGGTAGAAATGAGGACTAAGAAGTTGTAAAGTGGAGCAGCACTGAACTGTGCTGTTGCAAAGGTAATGAGATATAGAGGAATGTATATTTTCTTCATATTTAATTAAATATATTGTAATAAATTAAAATGAAAGGTATAGTGGTATAGTGACTGGCTATGGACTGGAGGACCTATGGGTCAGAGTTCAAGCCCCAGTAGGGTCTAGAATTTTCTCTTCTCTGTGTCATCCAAACTGGGTCTGGGACCCACCAACCTTCTATACAGTGGGTGCTGGGGGTAAAGCAGCCAGGACATGGTGCTGACCATTTACCTCCAACTAGTGCCAAGATAAACAAAAAGTGGATCTGTACCCCTACGTGCAATGTCTTCATGGCATAGTGCTTAATCAGTTAAGCACAGGGACAACTTCATGTTTCGATATTAATGAAATCCATAATTAATGTCACATATCAGTGTTTTGTACAATATATTTTCTGAGATAACTCATAAAGACATATTTGAGAATCATCATATCAGTATTTTGTACAATATATTTTCTGAGATAACTCATAAAGACATATTTGAGAATCATCATATCAGTATTTTGTACAATATATTTTCTGAGATAACTCATAAAGACATATTTGAGAATCATCATATCAGTATTTTGTACAATATATTTTCTGAGATAACTCATAAAGACATATTTGAGAATCATGTAAGTTAGGGACTGAAGCCAGATTGATATAGGTCAAAATCAAATTTGCTTGAGAACTGGTTGGTATAGCAATGGGCTACAAGGTGGGCAGCCAAGGAATTGGGGTTCAATTTCAGACAGTAGCAAAAGATTTTTTCTTTTCTTCTAAATGGCCGCACTGGCTTTGAAGCATACCCAACTTCCTGTATTTCCCCAGGAGCAAAATGGCCAGGGCATGAAGCTGACCACTCACCTCCATCTAGTGCTGATGTTGAAAATGCTCAGGGATATAATGCCATTCCACCGTGGATCTTCATGGCATGGAATTTCTATTCCAAACTTAATCTAGATTCATTCAGTATATTTTAAGTTAAAAAGCGCAGGTGTATGGAAGACACAAACTACCCATCTATCATTTGTTCTTTTCATGTCCTTCTTGCAAGAACACAGGATTATATTTTGAATTATTTTGGATTCTCTTCTAGGTACACAGGTTTTATATTAAATTTCTTGATGTAACTGCCGTAACCCTTAATTTGTTATTAATTTTATCAGTTTGTTCCGGATGATTTGAAGGACGAAAAGTATTGGGCCCGTCGCCGCAAGAACAACATGGCTGCCAAACGGTCAAGGGATGCTCGTCGTGTGAAGGAGAACCAGATAGCACTACGAGCTGGCTTCCTCGAGAAGGAGGTATTTATGAAATTTCATAACTGGTTGTTCTACTATAGCACAGTGTAGGGTCTAAATTTTGTGTGGTTATGAATCTTAAAAAGACTTGGAACTGCATAAGTTTCTTAGTTTAAACAGCAAAATGTGAATCACATAGAATGTATGCACTAAAGCATGAGGTATGATGATGATGATGATGATGACGACGACGACGACGATCATCCGTGATGTAATTACAACTGCAGAGCAATAAAAAATTTAGTTACTATAGGATTCTGACGATGGTGTATAACACACTGATATGTTGGGTTTTTGGACTTTATCCATCGTCCTGGTTTTTAAGATAACAAATAAAAACACGCTAGCTCTTTCTAAGGGACCCAACTGAATAGGTGTTTTCCTTCACCTGAGGACGGAAACAGATCCAGTTTCCGAAACGTCGTGTTTTTATTTGTTATCTTAAAAACCAGGACGATGGATAAAGTCCAAAAACCCAGCATATCAATAAAAAATTTATTTGACTAGAATGGGGTAGATTATACCCCATTATAGCCATTTTATGGGGTAGATCACAGATAAAGTGAAACATTTTGTGTGAAGCACTTTTTTATGTTAAAAGGAGCACACGTGGTGATGGTTTGAAACTGTAATGATATATCTGACAAGTGTAAGATAATGGAAGTTTATAAGATTGGAAATTGTTCAGATAAACAGGTTACTGAGTTATGTGGTCATGAATCCGGACTGTCTGGTAGCCTCTGTATGGATGAAAATATTCAAGGGAAAGTAAATTTATTAGTTCTGTTCAGTGGTGTGCCGCGCATGGAAGCAAGGGAAGCATTGCTTCCGTAGTTAAGAAACAAAAAGAAAAGAAAGGAAGTCATATATAAATAATTCAGTTTGAATAATAAGAATGTGAATATTGTCATCTTAAAATTTTAGCATGTGTTCCTGTTCAAGGCCACATGCCTACTCCTCCTCTCTTCCCCTGTTTAGTGGGGTGGACCAAGTTTCCTTTCGTTAATCTTCGTATGAAGTCGTCAAGGGAGCATGTTTTGGGTTGCTGGCTCTAGGTGTGTGATATGGCAGTGAAAGATTGTGTTATTTCAATGGTTATGTGAAAATTAACTGTTTATATATGATTTCAGTCTTGTTGCATGTTATAGGTAACAGTGAGTTTTATTACGATATTGTAAGTGCATATTTAAATGACGTAAGATTGTATTTGTGATCATATTTTGACACATCAGAAGGAAGCTATCCGTGTTTAAGGGAAGCAAGTCTGATATTGTGGTACAAGTGGCAGGGGCGTGATTAGACTACACGCACAGGCCACAGCTAAAATGAATGCTGGCAGACAACGCGACTGCGACTGTGCAGTCGAAAGCCTTTTAAAATGGGGGTTTAATAGCAGGGACTTTTCTGAAAAGAAAATAATTATAGAAAGAGGACGACCAACATGTGAGTTGCCAGAACTTAAAGCACAAACCAAATTATGTGTGAGGAAATTGAATTTTCAACAGTATTCTAAAACAGAGTGGCTATCCAGTTGCCATAATATAGGAAAATTGTTTTGTTGGCCATACCTATTGTTTCTCAATGAAAAAAATGTATGGAACAAGACTGGGTTTGGTGACATTAACAACCTTCATAAAGCATTGAAATGACGTGAGAACTCTCAGACTCACATTATTTCAACAGTGCAACTTGTTATGTTCGGGAAATCTTGAATTGACAGTCACCTTGACAATTAAAAGCGCCTGACGATACTACAGCATAATGAAAATGTGAAAGAAAATAGAGAAATAATGAAACGCTTGATTGACATCATCTGCCATTTAGGAAAGAGGCAACTTGCCCTCTGTGGTCATGACGAAAGTGTGAATTCTATTGACCAAGGTAATTATGTGGAATTAGTTCACTTGTTGAGGAAATATGATCATAAACTCAATGTTCACCTGGAGAACAGTACAGTATTTACATGTTTATCGAACAGAATAGAGAACGACCTTATTGACTCAATAAGTAACATAAATTTTGGTGAGTTGATTGCTATCAGTTCGGTTATTAGATACCACTGCTTCCCTTACAGAAATAGTACCACACACCACTGGTTCTGTTGCAAAGCTGTTGTTTCCTTCCAATATAGTAATTCATTTTTCTTGTTGAACTTTCTGATACAGAACATGGGACTACGCCAGGAACTGGACCGGCTCAAAAAAGAAAACCTTCTGCTTCGAGACAAGCTCTCGAAGTTTACAGATGTCTAGTTCCTTTCCATCCCAAACAGTACCACCACCATCACCACCACAATCATCGTCGTCATGATAATTATAATGAGCAGTAGCAGCACTTGCTTCGTACCACCTCACTTTGCTACTTGCTGGAATCAGCACCTGGTTACTCACTCAGTTGGTGGTGCTTGTTGCGTCAGCCGGAGAACAACAGTGGAGTGTAGTCAAGTGGACAATTCTCGGCAGTATGTCTTGCAAGATAACCACCAGGTCATTGAATCTGAGCATTTTATCAGCATAATCTTGTTAATAATAGCTACACTTAGGGCAAGTCAGCCTCTGCAATAAAAAATAGCCCATCCAGAGGAATCAGTAAATGAACAAGGCATATGATAAACTCTAATAGCTTTAGGTTTCAGGTTGAGAATAGCCTGATTATCTTTGCATAAAGTGTGTAAAATTAATATGTAATGGGGAGGTTGAATTCATCCCTACATTTCACCTCCAAAACTACATAACAGATTTGAGTACAATTTGGTGTCAGTAGAATTTCAGTTTAGTCCATATCAGTTATTTATAACTCCTACTTCACACAAAGATCAAATTAGGTTTATTAGTCTTATCAAAAACAGCTCATCCTACTAAAAACCAGCACATGATGTGCAATAGAGGTCTCACTAAGATTTACAGAACTAATTTAGTATATTTTTCATTATGATAAATATTTAATAAAATGCAAGGAAAAATAATTTCTGACTGTATGTAGTGTCATTTATAACACAATTGCATTTGCAAAAGTAAACTTACACTTACAGTAAATTAATATCAAGGTCATTGAGATACACTATTCAAAATCTGAAAGAGTGTATTTGAAAATATGAGTGGGTGTACTCTTTTGGAATACACTTTTCCATTCAGGGATTCGTATGTTTTTTTTTTCCATCTCATACCGCTTAGTAGAATGCCAGCATGATAAGGAGTCAGTGAATTTTATTTACCTTACTGTATCTTATTCCTTTCAGTATGAATGAACTCCCTGCTTGCCCAAGCAATAACTTTCGTAGAACATGTATTCTACTCAGCATGTTTTTCATGCCTGATGGAATCTGCTGAAATATCTTCCCATCACCTTTTATTTTCAGAAACTGAAACAGAGGAACAGGAATATTTGTTATTCGGTAAAGTGTAACTCAGCATGAAGAAAACAATCAGGCTGCAGATTTATAAATCATCTCAGACTTCATAAAAATTAGCTGTGTGTTACAGGTTGTCTCCTAGGCAGTTGATAGTAACTCAGTTGGTCAAGAAATAACGTGATTCTATGTAACCCAGAGGTTCACTTTCATATTCATAAATGGAACCCACATCAGCCAGTTATATCCACCTCTTACCCTATCTTTTAATATTATCTACAACTATGGCTCCCAGTTTGACTCTTCTCTTAAGGATTGCCTGCCAAAACTTTGTATGCATTTCTAACTTTCTCTGTGTTTATCTTTTAATAATATACTCGTACATGTGCCACATCCCATGACTTCCTAACTTACAGGTTTACTGACTTATGATCCAAATAAACTAACAACCATTAGACTCGAATTCTGAATTTTTGGCCCCAGAAATCAAAGCTTGAAATTTGGACCTTGGACAGCATCTTCAGAAAGCCCAAAGCTCCACTGACTGCTCTTATGATGTCATTTGGCAAGCTAGGTCCCTTCCAAATCTCCAATAATAAAAGACCTGCTATATGAAGTCGATGAGGTGCTGGAGAGTGCAGATTTTTATAAAATTTTAATTTAATTTGTTATAAAGTTTTTGAATTCTGTATACCTCAGATTGTAACTTTTAGTGATCCATATTGTAATGCTCTGGTGGCTCATATCGTATCTCTTAATGATCTATAGTAAAATATTAATTAACTTGCTTATTTTTAATATTTTAACACTTCATTTGCTTAGTACTATGTTATTTGATGTCCCTTTCTATTTTATAACAAAAAACAGAATTATGGCATAACAGGTATTAAAGAATTGAAAAAATGGGTCTGACCCGTAAGCTCCAGAAAAATAATCTTACACATCCCATGTTATAATGAACCTCGTTTATGGTCTTTCCACTTATGACCTGTTTTCTAGAATGCATTAAGTCTGAGTCTGAGGTTTGAGTGTAGTTACCAAAATAAACAGATGATATGGTCAGAATTCAACAAGAAGTGAATTGAAAAGCTGTTTTGTTCAAGATTCTGGCCTGAATGGAAGCCGCTAAATATATGTATGGCAAGAAATGACAAAAATCATATTCTCACTGTGCTGTTAAGAGATGAGTATTCTACCAACTGAGCCACCAGCAGTTGCCATATCACTCTTTCCATGCTTCTAAATGAGATATCTCTTTTAGAAGTACTGGAATGTGAACTAATTTGTTTTTTTTTGAGAATTTATTCTATTTCTTAATGGTTTATTTAGTTATGATGTCAGTAAGTCAGACTACATAGCATTGAATGATGGGATGATTAGTGAATGATGAATTGCAAAGGACAGGGAAGGGAAAGGTCATGGCCCAATTGGAAATATTTCTCTGTCATTTACCTTCAGAGAATGAGTAAAACCACAAAGAACCTCAGTGTAGCCAGTTTGGGGGGTGAGGTTTTAACCCATTACGAGTACCTCCTGAATAAAATACAGGAGTGCTATGCACTTGACCATGATGTTCAAGAATAATGAAAGAAGCAAATCCATCTGTCAGCAGTTGTAGCTAATTCTTCGTGGTTTTTCAGCAGTAGAAATTTTATGTTGTCATAGAAGTATACTGAATAGAAGATCTCTTTTAACAAAAGCCAGCATGGAAATGTTAACCTGTATTTTAGTACTCACTACTATAGCCCAGTATAAATATTAACAGGGTGAAAGTGTAATGAACAGATTGTGCTATATCCACACTACAAAGCTCTCCGGTTCAAAGTTCTGGCTCTAACTGAAGAATAAACTAATGTAATTATGTTTCAGAAACATAACACTGTCATAATAATGCTCTTAGGGGTATGCCTCACTAACATATATCTTGCAAGATATAAAATATTTCGGCTAGTTATCTGATACAACACATGTGTGTTGCCTACTCCACCTTAATGATCAGTAGATATAAATGGTGTACAATGTAATAGATCCCATTTTTTATCAGTTTTGCGAATATTTAAACATTTAGTATCCCTACTCTTTGAGGCTAAACTGCAATAGCTGAATAAGCAAAGTGACTGGCTATGAGTTGGAGAATAAGGGTTTGATCATCATCATTTCACCACCATTTCTCACTCTTTGAGCCATATCTATTAGGCACCAGAAGAGGCTTTTTTCCAAAGGGTTATGTGTGGTCCAGAGCATAGCTTGATCACTCATCTCCATCTAGTGCTAAGTTTAACAACTCATACGACTTTTACTTCAAAACAGTTTTCTTGGGCTATCAGCCATATCAATTGGTTAAAAATTACAGATGTTTTAGGAACCATCTCTGTCCCCATCATCAGGGTCTGATGTCAGCAATTTTTAACCAACTGACACAGCTGATAGGCCAAGTAGATTTCATCAACTTTAGCCAACGTGAAAGCTTCAGGTGTTGTGTCAACTTCTACCTCTTTGTTAGATCTAATGTTCTGATCTATCATCTTTTACATAACAAAATGAAACTTTGTTACTGTTAATGGGCACCTTGGTGCCTTCTTACCCGTTCCAACCAGCCACCCACTTTGCAGCAAGGCCTATTGCTATGAGTATTTTTAAATTAACTCAACGTGCATAGTATCTGGCAAATTTGTTCAAATTATCCATGCTCATCTTGTAACATGTTTGGTACAGCTAGAGAGTGGAGCACATTCCTTTGTATAGAAAGCCTGCTTTCCTCATTGCCATAATGCACAGGAAGAAGTAGGTTTATCTGTTGTAAATTTATATTTTCAGTAAACTATTCAGATCTTCTTCTTTCTCATGATGTCCAGTGCTTTGTTTCAGCCAGCACATATGCCAGATAACAGTTTATGCATGCTGAAAAATTTGTGAAAGGCCAACAATTTTGCATCTGCTGGTTCATTATATATTTTAGTCTTTAGGCTAAAACCAGGCATGAGAGTACCAGAAAACATGGTTCTAGAAAAAAGCTGATGATGCTTAATGTGTAAGCTTTCCTTAGAACCATAAGTTATGGACTGTATAGAAAAATAAATAAATCACAAATTGTCAAACATATGCCTTCCCAGTAATACGTTTCTTGCCTTCTTTCTGGCTATTACACAGTCACAGAATCAGAAAATTACTTTCCTATCATCTGTAAATCTTTGACAGTTTCAATGCATTTGCTCCCATGCACTTAAAAAAAATGTCGCTTGTAGCATAAAATTTGTTAAGATTAAAACTATTTTGTGTTCAGAAAACAATTTGTTACCAGTGATCTGATGGTGTTCCATAGAAGTTGGTCTGTAGTAGTTGCAGACTAATGCCCTACATGGGCAGATCTGAAATCATCTCTGTTTTGAAACAGAACGGTTTACACTTGCAAGAAATGCAAGAAGTCATGCACCTCCTGTTAACCCTCTTCAGCCCTATTCAAACAAGACTGTAACACGAGATCTTATTATTTCACAAAAGAAGTATTTGAGCATATATTATTTAATGATAAGACAAATTGAAACCTCTAGTAAATGTATAAGAGGAAAACTGCCCCCTTACATCTAGCAAACTATGAAAGCATCAACAACTTGATTAACTCTCTAGTAGCTGTCACTAGGAAATGGATATAAAACATGGACACTTCTAAGCATCAATCCCAGGAACCACAATTTACGTAAAAGCACTTCAGCAGTTCGTTCATTTAGCAAGAGATGTGATGGATTTCTGTCACATGAGTGACTGTAAAATGATTATGAATGTGAAGCCAGAACTTATGTCAGAAGAAGCTGAAGCGGTTAGTCGCTGGCTTCTCACTGCGGCGGACCGGGTTCAAACTCGGATCTGGTCAAGTGGGATTTGTGGTGGACAAAGTGGCTCTGGGGTAGGTTTTCTCCGAGTACTTCGGTTTCCCCTGCCAATCTTCATTCCACCAAATTCACCATCATCATAATCACGTGGGGCAGGTAGAATAGCCCCCCCCCAATGCAAATGCAAATTATGTCAGAAGAAAATGATACTGTTTCTTGACATGATTCAGTCCCAGCAGGTACATGGAGAGATCAAGGAAATCTGTAACAATCTTGGCCAGGATAGTCTGTTCTGAGCTAAGTTCGAGCCACATACCTCTTGACTGTGCTGACTGTTGCACTGAAATGTTCAGTGTTGTAATGTTCTTTCTCTCTATTTCATTGAATACACAATACTGTCTGTTCCAGCTTTGCTGTCATGCCACTTTTTCCTTGATTATCCCAGTGTTTTTGTGTCCTTTGGATGTATATTTTAATTCACTTCTGCCAGTATATATATCATATTGTCATCCAATCACTGTACATATTCCGTCCATTTTGTCTGCAGTTCTGCATTAGTTCTTGTGCAAAGAGAATATCTGTAATTCATTTCATATTTCTTGGTTGTGACTTAACGTTCAACTTTGTACAACTTTTCACTTTAGATATAAACTTAATCATGGCATCCTACTAATGTCCATCTGTTTTATAGCCTGTTGTAACTACCTCAGGAAAGTGAAGGAGTGGTCATAACTTTGTAAACTTTTAATTTAGTGTTACATCCTTTACCTTTCAGTTTTCTGTTAATGGCATTGAAACTTGTGCAGTTTGTCTTGCATATCATCATAATTATATTTACTTAAATTCTTCATATTATGCTTAATTAAATTGCATACAATTTTCAGGTTTATAATAAGTGGAAGTGTGCAGATCTTCCTTGACCATAAATTTGCTGCCATGGATGAACTGAAAGTACTTACAAATACATGAACACACATGTTGACAGTTACAGTATATTTATTTTATCTTTCAGTTTTCATAAATAAAATGTTTCTTTACTTGATTTATGATGTACACAAGTTCACATGATGACATTCCATTATTTTGTATCTTTAATTTTCCATATTACATCTTACAAATATAGTGCAGTTACATTATTTTTTAGTTTGTTACATAGAGTTTATTAAAGTTTCACTAGAGTTGTAAGAATAAATTAAATTATTTTTGTGAAAACAGAAATATTAAAAAGATATTTTTGTTATTATGTTAACATACAGGCAACGCTTGTTCCATCATGAGGGTTTCTACCCTGAAGGTGGAGGCAGCATCTTCTTCTGAAAGATTTAAATCTAAATGGTTTAATCCCAGAAGACTGTAATCTAGATCAGAGTTTCAGCTGAATGGTTAACACTACTGCTTTCTATTCAGGATAATTGCGGTTGCATTCTCAACGCAGCCAGATGTCCTGATTGAGACTTTTTGATGTGAGTGCTAGGATAATACTTTAAAATAGGCCATGATTCTACTCGCATGCTTCCCAATTCGACATTCACCATCATTCTCACATTTAATTAAGATCTAAAGGTTTGTAACGATGGTACATCAATACAAATATTGTGTTTCTGGGCATTATCCATCACCCTGTTTTTATTTAAAATGCTGCCTTCAGTTTATTTGAAACACAACGTTTTGGAGACAGAAACCGTCTCTGGAATGTGTTTTAAATAAATACAGGACAATGGATAATGTCCAGGAACACAGTAGCTGTACTCAAGTTTAATGTTTTATAATCAGTCATCTTATTTTGCAAGGGAAACACTGAGTGTTGGAAACGTTAGAATGTCATATAAAGAAATAGCAGAGTGAACATATCTTTATATCACAGTCATACTATCATATACTGTGTCATTAAAGAAAAGGCAGAAGATGTGGACTGTATGTCACGATAAATTTCCTTGCAAAAGCTATGAGTTTTGTAAGATATCATTGACCATATTATTATCACTATGAAGTCAAATTATCTATATAACGAGCCATTCCTTTATATTTTAATTGGTGTTTATGCTCATTAAATGGTGGGTGACGGACAACTCCTTTATATTCTTGTGTTTAGGCTTAAGCAGTTGTCGGCAGCTCCATTACAGGTACAAAAGATGAACTAAGTATCAAATCCCATTTCTAAAGAAATAACTTTAAGGTATTTTAAAGTTACATGATGCAGAAAGTAGCAATTAAAATGTTAATCATATACATATTGTATAGTGTTCAATTATTACACCAGCTCTTTGAGCTCAGACTAACATTAGAATATTAGTATTATTTACCTAAATGCATACAACTCCACAAGGTCTCTGGAGACTGTGACTGTAGGAGCTCATATACATGTAGTTCTTACTTCCTTACACTGCTTTTATTCAGCAGAATGGCACAGATGGGAGCTAATCTTTTCTAGGTACAGTGGCTGGCATGCCATTTCAACAAAGCATTTATAAACAATACCAACAAAATTTAGTTCAGACATTCAGGAAAATATTAATCTTCATATAGAATTACTCTTTATCTTTCAATTTCCACATACTTGTCATTCAGATACTGTCCTTAGGATGTCAGTAGTACAAAGATAGGAGATCTATATTTTCAGAGTAAAGTTGCAGCAAGATCAGGATAAGCCTGATGGGAATTCTTTTCGAGGTCAGTGAAAGAACTGAGTGCTATACTTGGGATTGGAGAAATAAAAATCAATACCATAAACAGTTTAATTTTTGGGGCCCAAGGTCACTGGCTGCATGTTTGGAGTTTAACCTTTGCAGATACACTTCAACCTAAATAGGAGGGCCCACAATTTGACATGACCTTTGTGCTTAGTTTACTGAAACATTCTATAAGAGTGATGATTTATTCAGTGTGTATTCTTAAAACTGGAACAGCATACAGTGTATCAAGCAGATATTCAGTACACATAATGAATATGTTTTCATGTGTGATATAATGTGAAACATAGTCTTCTGTGTAGAAGTGCTGCATAGGAATGTGAATCACTTTATGTCTTTTAAAATTGTATTTGCCTTCATGCCTAACCTGTCAGTTTGTGTGTAGCTATCATCTACTGACATGCCTGGAAGGAAATGTACAGTAAACGTTGAAATCTGCCTTAGTTTGAAAATCAGTTTCCTGCAATCCTGCTGGCTAGGGCAGGAAACTACCTTCCCACTGTGACTGTTACTTTGAGGTTAAAATGCGACATCTTTCAGAATTTATTTCTCCAGGAGCTTATTACAATCAGGTCTTATCTCTTTTTACCTTGTTTGCATCATAATCTTTTTGGACTATTTGGAAGATTTGCATTTTTGGATCT